CAAATGTGTTTCTTTCTAAAATAATCTGAACCAGCAGTGATTAAAATCGGATTAATTTGGTAAAAGCTGATTTTTTTTTTTTCAAAAGCCCTTTAATCTAAAGTTTTGTTAACACACTATGTATTCAATTTACCCCAGTGACATGAAAAAACTTATCTTAGATCACAGGTAAACAGACTACTTCAGTATTGCATCACATCGACACGCAGAACAAGTTTAACTGTGTGAATGAAGTTTATAATTTTCCATCAGTGCTTGTATTAAACAATACACACCACTGTTATGCCTCAGGCATATATTGTTTTTCCATGTCGTTAAAAAAGGGACTTTTACTGTCACACATCTTTCAACATAGTTTGGAATTTGTTTTTACATCATCAGATATAATCAACTCTGTCTGTGTCTTATTGTTTCCATTTATCTTGTGCAGGGAATCCGCCCAAAAATGAAAGCACAAGTATGATTAGGGTCCATAGAGGCGAGCCAGATCAGAGAGGGCGGGTTGTTCTCCCCCCCAAGCTATATCTATAGGGCACCAAAACCCCCTGAAACTGACCTCTACAATCTTGTATATAGTTCAATTATACGCACAACAAAATGTGAATGTGAAATTTTATTTAACTTCATTCTTTTTACTTCCAAATGAACTATCAGGAACACAGTTTGGTAAATAAAGAAACTTCAAACAATTGAAAAGTAAAAGTAAAATACAGAGCTTTCAGAATAGAGGCTCTCCTTTTATAGATCATTTATATTGTAAGAGAAATGATTTTGTGACAATTAGTATATACTGTACAGTTGAAGTCAGAATTATTAGGCCCCCTGAATTATTGGCCCCCCTGTTTATTTCTTTCCACAATTTCTGTGTAACGGAGAGCAGATTTTTTTCAGCACATTTCTAAACATAATAGTTTCAATAACTCATCTCTAATAACTGATTTATTTTATCTTTGCTATGATGACAGTAAATAATATTTGACTAGACATTCTTCAAGACACTTCTATACAGCTTAAAGTGACATTTATTGGCTTAACTAGGTTAATTAGGTTAACTAGGCAGGTTAGGGTAATTAGGCAAGTTATTGTATAATGATGGTTTGTTCTGTAGACAGTTGAAAAAAAAATTGCTTGAAGGGGCTAATAATTTTGAAAATGAAGTTTAAAAAATTAAAAAACTGCTTTTATTCTAGCCGAAATAAAACAAATAAGACTTTCTCCAGAAGAAAAAATATTATCAGACATACTGTGAAAATTTGCTTGCTCTGTTAAACATCATTTTGGAAATATTTAAAAAAGAAAAAAAAAATCAAAGGGGGGCGAATAATTCGGACTTCAACTTTATTATTTTTTTTTATTTAATTTTAATTTATTATGTTGGAATATCTACCTCTATTCCATGCGTGTTCAATAAGAAAAGGTCTGGAGAGGGTTTTCTTCAATACCAAAAATATTAGTAATTTATTTGATACAAATGAATAATTTGATGACAGAGCTCTGGGTTACGTTACCCCAATGCAATACAAGAATTACATTCAGGAGGTTCGCAACTGACTTACATTTCCTGACTCCAGTATATATATATACACAACTGATCTTAACAGGTGGAGTTTTGGTTTAACGTCACTTATCAGTCATTCTGCAGTCCCTTGGCTCTTTGCAACCCCTGGACATTACTTCCTCTTTCTGCAACCTTTTATTGCCGGCAGCTAGCTCTCTGCAACTCTCACATGGTCGCCCACTGAAGCTAAGCAGGGCTGCGCCCGGTCAGTACCTGGATGGGAGACCACATGGGAAAGCTAGGTTGCTGCCGGAAGTGGTGTTAGTGAGGCCAGCAGGGGGCGCCCAACCTGCGGTCTGTGTGGGTCCTCATGCCCCAGTATAGTGACGGGGACGCTATACTGCTCAGTGAGCGCCGTCTTTCGGATGAGATGTTAAACCGAGGTCCCGACTCTCTGTGGTCGTTAAAAATCGCAGGATGTCCTTCGAAAAGAGTAGGGGTTTAACCCCGGCATCCTGGCCAAATCTGCGCACTGGCCTTTGTCCATCATGGCCTCCTAACCCTCCCCATATTTAATTGGCTTCATCACTGTCTCCTCTCCACCAATCAGCTGGTGTGTGGTGTGCAGTCTGGCGCAAAATGGCTGCCGTCGCGTCATCCAGGTGGATGCTGCACACTGGTGGTGGATGAAGAGATTCCCCCCACTGTGTAAAGCGCTTTGAGTGCCCAGAAAAGCGCTATAGAAATGTAAGGAATTATTATTATTATTATTACCAGAACTGAACAATTACGTGCATCTTTAATATATTTCACAACTTCTACAAGCATCAGGACAACTTTTGACATGTCTAGACTATAGTTCTGGAACAAAGGCCCCCACCCTCAATTTATTCTTATTCTGCTTTTCCACTTGTCAGCAGTTCTTCAAAAAGTATGCAGCACAGTAAAAAAATGGAAGTTTGTCTGGTCAAGATGTCTTATAATACAAAAGAGAAAGATTGATTAATCAGTTTTTAGTCTAAACATTTTTCTAATAAAAAAATTATAAAAAGAATAAAAATAAAAATAAATTCCTTTTCTCCAACAATTATTATTATTGCAGCTGCAGCCGCTGCACAAAACATATGCTAGAGTAATTGACGATTCATTCCACTGTGGAAACCCGTGAGAAATAAGGTACAAAGCCGAAAAAAAGGATAATTATTATAATTGTATTTCTGTTTATTCGCTTAATTGTTGTGGTTTAGCTCAATTGTTATTATTATTTCTTATGACATGATTATGTCGTCCACTTTTATGACTAAAATCATAATTGTCGATTATTCCATCAAAATTTAATGGTGATTATAAATAACTATTACGACAATTCACATTTATTGATGTTTTAGGTCACCAAATGTCAGAAATGACGCACCTCAGAACAACATACAGCACAATAAAAGGTCGCTGTCATTAGTTTACCTGGTCAGTGTCTATGAATAGCACTAAAGGACTGAAATACTATATGCAAATCTGTATGCCTTTATAATCTGCAGAGCTTTACATGCTTTCTCTTGCTTTCAAATAGTTAATTCCTCACAATTAAAATAAATGAATTCACAATCCAGGCTACCTTTCATCAGCATTACTGGTTTTACTGGTATAACTAATTCATTACTGTGTAATAATACAGATTTCAGATTTTCATCTTGAGAGTATTGCAAATCTTTATTCACACTGTATTAAACCACATGAAATAAAAAATAAACAAATATATGTTTTTATTATGTTTATTTTTGCAGCTGAAAGGACAGCTGCTGCATAAACCATATGCCAGAGTAATTGGCGATTCATTCCACTGTGGAAACCTATAATAAATCAGGGACCATGCAAGACAAAGGAAAAAGAGAGAATTATAATTATTATTATTTCATTCTTTTCATCTTTAGATTTCTGTTTATTCACTTATTTGTTGTGGATTTGCAATAGTTTATTTGTTATTATTATTGCTTATGACATGAGTCCATTTTTATGACTAAAATCCTAATTGTCGATTATTCCATCAAAGTTTAATAGTGATGATAAATTACTGTTACGACAATTCACATTTATTGATGTTTTGGGTCAGAAATGACGCACCTCAGAACAACATACAGCACAATAAAAGGTCGCTGTCATTAGTTTACCTGGTCAGTGTCTATGAATAGCACTAAATGACTAAAATACCACATGCAAATCTGTATGCTTTATAATCTGCAGAGCTTTACATGCTTCCTCTTGCTTTCAAATAGTTAATTCCTCACAATTAAAATAAATGACTTCACAATCCAGGCTACCTTTCATCAGCATTACTGGTTTTACTGGTATAACTAATCCAGTGCTGGGTCATAATACATGTAGATTTCAGATATTCATCTTAAGAGTATTGCAAATCTTTATTTACTCTGTATTAAACCACATGAAATAGAAAAAAACAAACAAATATATGTATTTATTATGATCATTTTTGCAGCTGGAAGGACAGCCAATGCATAAAACATATGCCAGAGTAATTGGCGATTCATTCCACTGTGGAAACCCATGATAAATCAGGCACCAAGCCGAAGAAATTAGTTTATCTAATTGATTACTGTGTAGTAATACACGCAGACTTCAGATATTCATTGAGTATTGAAAATCTTTATTTACTCTGTATTAAAAAAGCATGTGAAGAATATTCATACAGTACCAAATATACAAGATTTACAATAAATATCTACAGTTGAAAGCAGAAGTTATCATACACTGTATAAAAAGGCACATAACCATTAAAAAAAAAGTTAGATGTTAATGTGACTAAACTTTTTCTCTTTTAGGTTTTTCTCTTTTCAACTGTTTTGAGTTGGGATTATCACATTTGTTTCTGTTATGCTCAATAGCAGAATAATGAGACATCAGCAAGACATCAGTCAAGGCATCAGCCAGGACCTACTTTTTATTTAATTGTATTTATTTATGTTTTTTTGTGTGTTATGTTCCTAGTAATGTACTTTTATATCTACACTAAGACTATAAGTATTGGATTGTTGTATATGCCGTAATGGTGTGTACTTGAACGTATTATATTAATAAAAAATAAATAAAAAATCAGCCAGGAAATTAATACTTGGCCACAAATGGATCTTCCAAACAGACCATGACCCTAAGCATACTGCCAAATTAGTTCAAATGTGCTTTAAGGACAACAGAGTAAATGTTTTGGAGTGGCCATCACAAAGCCCTGAACTCAATCCTATAGAAAATTTGTGGGCAGAGTTGAAAAAGCTTGTAAGAGCAAGACAATTCTGTCAGGAGGAAATTCCTTCAAACTGTTGTAAGAAGCTTGTGGAAGGATACCCAAAACATTTGACCAAAGTTATACAGTTTAAAAAGCAAAGCTAAAAAATACCAAGGAAATGTGTTTAAACTTCTGACTGTCTAGAAATTAGTAAAAAATTCTCTCATTATTCTGGCATTTAGCAAATATAAACCATTTAGGTAATATTAACAGACCTAAAATAGTAAACGTTTAGTATAATTTACCATCAGACATTTTTTTTTAAATGGTTATGTTACGTTTTTTAAAGTGTATGTAAACTTATGGGTTTAACTGCATCTACAAGTCAGAATAAAGGAGAGGTCACATTTTACAGGCCTTTAAAAAAAGTGGATCCAAACCTTTATTGAGTCTTCAATTAAACATGAAAGAAGATATTCTGAAGAATGTTGGCAAGATTTAGCTTTTGGTTTCCATAGTATTTTTTTCTTATCTTATTCTTTCTTGTTTAACAGAGAAAGGAATGTTGGCTTTGGATCCACCTGAGTTGGGATTAAATTGTGAATATGTTTATTAAAACTACAGTCTCTTTAATAAAAAGAAAATGGATTCACACATATACAGTATATACACACACTAACCAAGCAGGTCAATCATTTACATTTCACAGAAATCCATATAAAGTGAGAAGCTATGATTATATAATTCAGCAGCTAAAGGTCACAGTAAGTAAAACATGTCAAATGCCAAACAAAACTCAGAGCTGTTAAACATTGTGTAGAAGTGTGTCGCTGTTTTCCTTTTGTCCGAGTCTTGGACGTGTGCTTTCACTTTTCTTCACTTTGAAAATAACAACGATGATGATGATGATGAAGCAGCTCACCACCGCGAGAATAACAGCAAGCTGAAATCCACGATCTTGTTTTTCTTCTTTACGGGTTTCTGATGTGCCCATGTATTTGTGCGCTTCTGAAAAGGTCAATTTAAAAATCATTAATCAATAATAAAGAACTTTGTACTGCAAATATTCAACACTGAAAATGTTTAAATGTTGAATCAACTTTAGAAGTAATTTCAACTGTCAATTAAACTGACTAAAAGGAGACCTGTTATGCCACATACAAGATGTTGAAGAAGATTTCTATTCTCTCAGTGTGAAGTATCTAAGTGTAAAGCAGTTAATTTTCTCTTCTCAAAATGTATGAAGTGTTTGCAGCAAACATGCCAGCGTGTGTTAAAAATACAGTGATGTGTCTGTCTGCACAGGAGCAACACTAGCAGAAGAATGACTGAATGACTGATTGTGTATAACTAAATATGTAAAGCACTGATTATATATGCTAAATACTTGTATGAAGGTATATGTGTCAGAAGTTAGAGTGAGTAACATATTATCAAGTTATTGTCCTATCATGACAATTTATGTAAACACTTAGTTCCTTTGCATAAATTGCATTTATGCTTTGCTGACATAGACCTGTAACATCTCTGCTGACATGAGCTAGTGGGCTGAGAGCCAAGAATAGCAGGACCCCTTAGACTAGAAAACCTATTCAAAAATGGTCAAGAGTTAAAATAGACACCTAGGGGTGTGTCAAATAACCGTATAAAGATTTTGGAAACACAGAAACTTTAGAGGGAGCAGGAGAGACTTTGGAAAGAGAGAACCAGAGATAGGAAGTGTCCAGGAGAGACTTCAGAATGCTCTGGGGTCTGCTCTGTTCTTTCTCGGCTTTATTATAGAGAATAAAGTCTATTTTCTGATATTCAAAACCTCCTGTCTGATCATTTCTAATTGATAAGAAGTCGAATTCACGACAATGTAAAACAAGTCTCTGATGTCCCTAAGAATGTGTATGTGAAGTTTCAGCTCAAAATACACCACAGATAATGTTTTATAACTCTCTGAGACTGACCCTTTTAGGCTTTGATCCTAATTGTGTCACTTCGGTGACTGTCGCTTTAAATTCAAATGAGATTGTGCTCTTTTCAGAAGAGGGCAGAGCTACGGATGACTGTGTGTCAGCATATGGGCAGTTTTAAAACAAGACTGATGTTCTACGCCAGGGGTGTCAAACTCAATTCCTGGAGGGCCGAAATTCCAACCCTGCTTCAACACACTGACCTGTAGGTTTCAAACAAGCCTGAAGGACTCAATTAGTTTGATCAGGTGTGTTTAATTAGGGTTGGAACTAAACTGTGCAGAGCTGCGGCCCTTTTGGAACTGAGTTTGACACCTGTGTTCTACGCTAATGAGGGAAAGATGGTCACTAGTGGGCGAGCCTTTTCCCCCTGACGACACGTACAAAGGGAGAATGTCAATCAAGTGTTTCTGCAGACTGTTTTAATCAAGTCTGATTATGGAAAATACAATGAATACTTTTTTATTATTAGATGCTGATTATATTAACACACTGCTGCCACACAACTGTGTTTAAAAAGCGATTTTTGCATAATAGGTCCTCCTTAAAACATCAAGTCCATTTGTGCATTATAATAATAATAATAAAATAAATCTCACCGACTAATTAAAATGAGTTCAAGCAACATCATAATCTGTGACTTTTTGATTATATAATTAGACTCTAATTGATTTCTTCACAATTGAGAAACAGCAAATATGTATTACGAGATTTGACACTGATCACGCACAAAGGTTATTTATGATTATAGTAGTTTAATATCATACTCGCATATTATCTGAGAATAAGTCCCTTTATATGGGGTCAGCACAGCGGAATGAACCGCCAACTTATCCAGCATATGTTTTACACAGCGGATGCCCTTCCAGCTGCAACCCATCACTGGGAAACACCCATAAACTCTCATTCACGCACATACACTACAGACAATTTAGCTTACCCAATTCACCTATAGCGCATGTCTTTGGAGTTGTGGGGGAAACTGGAGCACCCGGACGAAACCCACGCCAACATGTGAAGAACATGCAAACCCAACACAGAAACACCAACTGACCCAGCTGGGACTCGAAACAGTGACCTTCTTGCTGTGGGATGACAGCACTAACCACTAAGCCACTGTGCTGCCCTCGAATAAATTTAGATTTTTTTAATTGAATTTAAATGGTACTTTGTAACCCAAAGGTTTGTTTTGTCCATATTTGACCCAACATCGGGTTAAAACAACCCAGCATTTTTTTATTTGGGTGTATAGAGATGTTTCTTACTTTAAAAACTAACTTAACTACTTTCTTAGACCTTAAAGTTTAAAATAAACGATCCTAAAGTGAATTTACAATGCTGAACACAGACTCAAGAGCAGTTTCATGTGTCCAAAAATGGAGTTACAATCATTTTACCTTCATTGATGAGAGCTTCAGTATCAGCTGTTGATTTCATAAGACCTGCTAAATGATTTGAAGTCAATATTAGATGTTTGATTGAAAATTAATGTTCAATTACAATTATAAACGATATGATTTATAAACAACAGTACATGCAGTACCTGATATCTCCACTGTGAATTTCCCTTTTACTGGTGAAGACCTGGTTTGCATAAAGAATCGGATTGTTTCATTTATTGCTGCATCTGGAGTGTATCTGCATGTGAAGATGTTCTCCTTTTCACAGGATCCGCCAGGAGACTTTTGTCTACAGATTTCTGAGTTTTTATAGTTCTCAGGATACAGAAACTTAAACATTTTAATGCAGTCTTCTTTGCACTTTTCAGAGACTCTGCAGGTGAGAGTCACTTCATTTCCCACAGTTCCAGTCACATCATCACAGCTCACACTGCAGACACCTGAAAAACGACATTTAATACACACACATGAGTTACTGGTTCATATTTATTAAACCACTGCATTGTGTTTTTGCTTGTTTTATTTGTTTGTACATGTTGCTATTTACAGCATGAGGCACTCATTTAGATTGTTGGATTAGTATCAGATGTCTACTAATAGTTTTATGGCAGCACAATATATTGATCAAGCATCTATAGCACAATTAGTGCATCTACAATAGTCACATCACAAGATCTGCAGTGTTGAGTCTGCATTTCAGTCGAGCAAAAGCCAACCAGTTTAACCATATTGAAGTGAAAGTTCCATAATCACTTCCATGTGTTTCACTGTGTGAGAACTTTAAAAGAATGTAAAGCATTTGAGCACATAAAAACGTTTGGAAGTTTAGAAAAGATTTATTATATCGGTAACACTTTACAATAAGGTTCATTAGTTAATGCATTTACTAACATGAACTTATCATGAGCAACACATGTACAGCATTTATTAATCATAATAGAACATTTACAAATGCATTATTAACATCCAAGTCCATACTTGTTAACATTAGTTAATGCACCATGAGTTAACATGTCATGAACTAACAATGAACTACTGTATTTTCATTAACTAACCTTAACTTACATGAACAAATACAGTAGTATATGTAATGTTCATTATTTGTTCATGTTAGTAAATGCATTAATTAACATTAACTAATGAACCTTATTGTAAAGTGTGACCGTTATATCTATAAAGAATGCACCGTTTTATTTTACATCCATTTATTTCACTTTTTTTTGCCCCTCCAGAATGTGCATGGGAAACACCCATACACACTCAATCACACACACACACTTATACACTATGGTCAATTTTAGCATACCTAGTAGCACCCGGAGCAAACCCACGTGAACATGGGGAGACCATGCAAACTCCACACAGAAATGCCAACTGGCCCAGCTGAGGCTCAAACCAGCGACCTTGCTGTGAGGCAAACATGCAACCCACTGCGCCACCGCATCGCCCAGGGGGTGAACAAGGACGCGGTATTCTTTGTTAATCAAAATCAAATCTACACTGTCAAAATGTCAAGAAGGTATGTTGTGATTGGGAAAATAAATGAGAAGATGTTGGAACAACTTCTTGCCTTGTTTATATTTTTTGTTTAATATTTGCATCACTGAAACATGTCTCTGGTTTAGCCTCTTAGCCATTTCTCTATGTAGCCTCTTCAATATTCATATCTCAATATACACTCACCGGCCACTTTATTAGGTACACCTGTCCAACTGCTCGTTAACTCAAATTTCTAATCAGCCAATCACATGGCAGCAACTTAATGGATTTAGGCATGTAGACATGGTCAATGGTTGATCTGCTGCAGTTCAAACCGAGCATCGTTATGGGGAAGAAAGGTGATGCAAGTGACTTGGCATGGTTGTTGGTGTCAGACGGGCTGGTCTGAGTGTTTCAGAAACTGTTGATCTACTGGGATTTTCACGCACAATCATTTTTAGGGTTTACAGAGAATGATCAGAAAAAGAGGAAATATCCAGTGAGCGGCAGTTCTGTGGGCGCAAATGCCTTGTTGATGCCAGAGGTCAGAGGAGAATGGCCAGACTGGTTCCAGCTGATAAAGGCAGCAGTAAATCAAATAAGCACTCGTTACAACCGAGGTCTGCAGAAAAGCATCTCTGAACACACAACAACACGTCCAACCTTGAGGCAGATGGGCTACAGCAGTAGAAGACCACACAGGGGGCCATTCCTGAATAGGAAACTGAGGCTACAATTCACACAGGCTCACCAAAACTAGACAATAGAAGATTGGAGAAATGTTGCCTGCTCTGATGAGTCTCCATTTCTGATGTGACATTCAGATGGTCGGGTCAGAAATAAGTGTCTGCAAGATGCAAGCATCAATCCATCCTGCCTTGTATAAACCATTCAGGCTGGTGGTGGTGTAATGATGTGGGGGAGATTTTCTTGGCACACTTTGGGTCCATTAGTACCAACTGAGCATTGTAACAACACCACAGCCTACCCGAGTAATGTTGCTGACCATGTCCATCCCTTTATGACCACAGTGTACCCATCCTCTGATGGCTACTTCCAGCAGGATAACACATCATGTCACAAAGCGTGAATCATCTCAGACTGGTTTCTTGGACATGACAATAAGTTCACTGTACTCAAATGGCCTCCACAGTCACCAGATCTCAATCCAATAGAGCACCTTTGGGATGCGGTGGAACAGGAGATTGACATCATGGATGTGCAGCTGACAAATCTGCAGCAACGGTGTGATGCTATCATGTAAATATGGAGCAAAATCTCTGAGGAATTATTTCCAGTACCTTGTTGAATCTATGCCACGAAGGATTAAGGCTGTTCTGAAGGCAAAAGAGGGTCCAACACGGTGCTAGTAAGGTGTACCTAATAAAGTGGCCGGTGAGTGTATATCAGGACAACAAAACATTGCAATGTCAGTTTTTTTCCAAAATCATTCTCTATGAATGTATTATGAATTAAAGCTTGCATGAACACGATCATATTAATAATATATGCAACACTATGCAGACTCTGAGTGATATCTTATCATGTTTTCTTGTAATCACATGTACAAACATGAGCAATCAGATAAAAGTATGAAAAACATTCAAGTCTTGATTGCTTATCTGTATGAACACATTGTTGTTTACCATAAGAAAGTGTGTGCAAAGTTATAAGAAAAAAGAACTTATTGCTTTCATTATTGCTATAATGACTATTTAAATCATCAAGATCCTAAAAGCTTGCCAGTGACCTAGATATTCTACCTCTATTAAAATTCCTTACCCGTATCTCCATGGCACACAGTAGAAAAGCTCCAAACCAGTAGGAACAGTTGCACTGCATTTACAGCATTCATGGTTTTGATTCTGCAAAAGAATTGACAAGCATTTGCATAAGAAGTGAAACTCGTTTATGAGGAAGTAGTAGAAAATAAACAGTAGGCAGAAACTCTTTAGTCAATGGTTTACAAAAAGCTGAGCAGGCATTTAACAGAGTCTGCAAGGAATAATTCATACAGGACCTTAAAACACTGACACTTGACCATCTGTGTACACGTGGACTACTTTTATGATGGTTTAAAGTAGATTGAAATTAGCAGATGACAATAAATCTAATTCACATGTCTGGATGGAAACATAATGTCCCTCTTAAAGGGATAGTTCACCCAAAAATTAACAAATACTCAATATTTATTTGCGCTCAATTTATTCCAAACCTTTATGAGTTTCTTTCTTGTGCTGAACAAAAAAAGAAGACATTTTGAAAAATTCTAGAATCATGTCAACATTGACTTCCACAGTAGGAAAAACAGATATTATTGAGGTCAATGTGTACAGGTCTTATGCATTTTTCTAAATATCTTCTTTTTTGTTCAACATAACAAACTGTACCAAATAAGATATTTTGAAAATTTTTAAAAAATTGTAAACATTAACTTCCACAGTAGGAAAAATAAATACTATGTAGGCCAATTTTACAGGTTTCTAGCATATCTAGTATTCTACCATTTACTTCCACAGTAGGGATGGAGGTCAGTGGTTACAAGTTTTATGCATTTTTCTAAATATCTTCTTTTATGTTCGGCATAAGATAGAGACTGTATGAAAGAAAGTATTTTGAAATATGTTAGAAACCTGTAACCATTGACTTCCACAGTAAGAAAAGCAAATACTATGGAGGTTAATAGTTACAGATTTCTAACATTTTTCTAAACATCTTCTTTTTTTGTTCAACATAAGAAATAAACTGTACAAAAGAAGATTTTTTGAAAAATGTTAGAAACATGCAACCATTGACTTCCACAGTGGAAATGGAGGTCAGTGGTTACAAATTATACACATTTTTCTAAATCTTCATCTTCTTTTGTGTTCAGCAAAAGAAACTGTACGAAAGAACATATTTTGAAAAATGTTAGAAATCTGTAACCATTGACTTCCACAGTAGGAGAAATAATAATACTATGGAGGTCAATGGTTACGGGTTTTATGCATTTTTCTAAATATCTTCTTTCTTGTTCAGCTTAAGAAAGAAACTGTACAAAAGAAGATATTTTGCGTAAAATGCGTAAAATCTGTAACCACTGAACTCCAATTCTACTGTGGAAGTCCATGGTTACAGGTTTTACGCATTTTTCGAAATATCTTCTTTTGTGTTTAGCATAAGAATCTGTGTGAAAGAAGAAAAATGTTAAAAACTTGTAACCATTGACTTCCAGAGTAGGAAAAACAAATATTATGAAGGTAAATGGTCACAGGTTTTACTCATTTTTCTAAATATCTTGTTTTTATTCAGCATAAGAAAACTGTACAAAAGAAGATATTTTGAAGAATTTGACCCATCACCATTGATATCCACAGTAAGAAAAACAAATCTTATAAAGGCGTTTTTTTACAGGTTTCTATCATTTTTTTTAAAAATATCTTCTTTTTTCTTCAAAAAAAAAAAAAAAAAAAAAAAGAATACATTTTGCAAAATTATAGAGTCCTGTAACCATTGACTTCCACAGTAGGAAAGAAAATACTATATTTACAGGTTTCTAACATTTGTCAAAATATCTTCTTTTTTCTTCAACATAAGAAAGAAATATTTGAAGAAAGAAGATATTTAAAATATATATGACCTGTCACTATTGACTTCCACAGTAAGGAAACCTGTAATTATTGACTTTCACAGTAGACAAAACAAATATTATGAATTGCAATGGTTACAAGTTATAATGCGCATTTTTCTAAATATCTTGTTTCGTCTCAACAGAAGAAAGAAACTGAAACAGGTTTGCGACAAGTGAATGATTAGCAAATTATGATGACAGCATTTTCCATTCGGGTGACCTATCTCTTCAATCGTATTAAAAATCGAGAGTTTACAATACAGTAAGCCGCACATTCATTTAGAAGCGTTGAAATGACTCATATGTGACAGATACAACCGCAAACCACAAGATGAATAATAAAGAAAGCAAAACACTCATTCATAAAATAATGAAACGTATTTTCCACATGTTGTACACAAGTTTGAGGTGAAGTCGGTTTATATTTGCACATTCAGACTTTTTCCTTAATAGTAAAGTATTCTTTGTAAATTCTAAATTATATCTCAAAGTTTACATACAATTAAGATAAAAAGTGCTAATGTTGTTTTTAAGTCATGCGATTTCAGACATATCTAATATAGCGTGGTAAACAATATAGGAAACATTAAAATGAAGGAATGAGCTAAAATAAAATCTAATTTACCTCAATGTAAATGAAGAAACGCTATAAATTAAATACTCTACAACATCAGACGAATAATGTCTATAATAAACGGCGTTTTATCAGTAAAATGCTTAAAACACGCATGCAATGGCTTATATTGATGTAAAATGTCATGCATTCTTAGTAAATACCGTACAGGCGTAAACAGCAGAGTTGCCACGTAAAGATTTTTCACCATCTGGATTTTGTACTCACCTACAGTCTCTGCGTCTTTACAGTCCTGAGTTCATTCCAGATTGACTCTCCAGAGATAATCCACAAGGTTATAACTACAGACTTTCACTTTCAGATCATATCATACGTCACATGTCATTGGATTTTTTTAGTCGGCCTAATATTTCTTTTATAGGCGAATAGTATTAAAGTAGTAGTAAAATAGTATAACACTGCTCTTACAAAAATAGACTGGACTCCCGTGTAAAACTACACGGGACTTCGTAGTGTGTGACTCGGTCAATGCACTCCAGTAATGGAGAAACTCTTGTCCACGACATGCGAATGAAGAAAGTGAGCATTTGGTGAACACTGAACAGACGCAAGAGGGGTCAAACATTTATTTGACAGCATGACACGCTCTCTGCTGGCAGAAGAATGCAATGCAATTATTGCATAATCCTTTATTTCGCAAAACATGAAGGAATAGTCCAGACGATTTTTAAGAAAATAATTATCTTCTTTTTTGTTCAACATAAGAAACTGTACGAAAGAAGATATTTTGAAAAATGTAAGAAAATTGCAAACATTGATTTCCACGGTAGAAAAAGACAAATAGTATGTAGGCCAATTTTACAGGTTTCTAGCATTTTGTTCAACATAAGAAAAAAACTCTACAAAAGAGGATATAAAAAAAATGTTAGAAACCTGTAACTATTGACTTTCACAGTAGGGATGGAGGTCAATGGTTACAGGTTTTCTGCATTTTTCTAAATATCTTCTTTTATGTTCAGCATAAGAAAGAAACTGTATGAAAGAAGGTATTTTGAAAAATGTTAGAAATCTGTAACCATTGACTTCCACAGTAGGAAAAACAAATAATATGGGGGTCAATGGTTACAGGTTTTAAACATTTTTCTAAATATCTTGTTTTTTATTCAGCATAAGAAAGAAACTGTGCAAAAGAAGATATTTTGAAAAAAAATTTGAAACCTGTAACCATTGACTTCCACAGTAGAAATGGAGGTCAGTGGTGACAGGTTCTACACAATTATTGCATAATTCTTTATTTCGCAAAACATGAAGGAATAGTTCAGAAGCTCTTTAAGAAACATGTTTGAGTTTCTTTCTTTTAATGAAGGCACTAAAGAAGGTATTTTAAAGAAAACTGGAAACCTGTAACTATTGACTTGAATAGCTTTAGTTTTTCCTACTAAGTCAGTGGTTAGAAGTTTTCAGATTTCTTCAAAAAGTCTTTTGTGTTTAATAGAAAAAGAAACTCATTGGGACAAGTAAAGGGTGAGTAAATGGTGAGTTAATTGGCATTAATGGTTGAACTGTCCTTTTAGCTTAACTTTCCCTTACAAAAAATAAAATAACTACATAAACTGCAGTATACTGTAGTCAACTATTTATATTAGATTATTAGATTACCATGAAGCACTGTAAACTATCTGTGAATTGGCAGCTTTTGTATTTTGTTTTTATTTTTGCACATTTATTTCTACTGTTGAATTGCATTATAGGATCTTGATCTTTCTTCCAACAACTTTTAACCTTGTAAAGCAAAAAAAAAAAAAAAGAAACAATTATAAACATGTTTATTAGTTTGCAGTGCTATATTGTCTGGCTTGGTTTGTATGTTACACTACAACAACCTTGTAATAAACTGCCAGTACATTTTTTTTATTATTTTACAGACTTCTATTTGTGATGTCCTCTACATTATATTATTGTGCATTAAATACCCAGAAGAAATAGCACACACTAGCCTCAGACCAGATATTGTCCTCTGGTCTAGTAGCACCGAACTGGTGGTGCTTACAGAACTTACAATACCCTGGGAGGAAAGAATGGAGGCACATTAATGCAACCTCAAGAAATATCAAAGTCTTATACTTGAGAGCCAGGAGAATGGATGGAGGGCCTGGAATTTACCAGTAGAGGTGGGTTGTAGGGGGTTTGCGGGGCAGTCACTCTGGAGAGCCCTCGGACTGCTGGGAATTGAAGGAATGGCCAGGAAATGGCTTGTAGGAAATCACTGAGGAGGCGGAAGCAACATCTCGCTGTATTTGGCTTCAAAGGGAGGTTCGGTGGAAAAGCCAACCTGTTAAAAGACAAACCATATCATAGAGTGGGGTGGTGGTCAGCAGGGGTAGATTCAGGACGCTGGATCTGCTGTCGAGCCCTCCCGAGATGTTGAACACAAAAGAAGATATTTTGAAAAAAGCTGAACCTAAATTAAATAGTCAACACAAAAGGTTTGGTGTGTTTCATTACAGTTTAGTTATTTATTTCAGTATTCTAGGCCATCATAAAGAGAGGCTGTACAAACACGGTCCTTACAGAACTTTATACAAGCGAACCACATATGAAAGACCAGGAACAAAGTGAAAGAACAAAGGAATTCAAATAAATAAAAAAGGTAAACAAAACATGTTTCCTTCACTTTCAGTATAACAACATCAGTTTAGTCCTCATTTACAATTATAACAAGCTTTAAACGAGCAGCAATCCTCCACCGAGAGTCAACCAACGACAAAAACAATGCAGAAATTCACCTCAGAACAAGACACAAGATGCAAACGAATGAAGAGCAGAAGAAATTCATGCCGTTTATGTACATTCAGGTGCTGCTTAATTCAAAATATAGTCTCGTGTGATGAATATATTGGTCAAAAGTGACTGGTTTCATCATATAGGCCTACAGCAGACGATCAGACACGATCTCATGTGCATATAAGAGAGACGGTGGACAAGAAATCAACATTAAACCAACCCCACGAGCGCTTATGCAAATCAGACACGTATCCTCAGTATACATCAAAGGTAAACAAAACAACAAACAAATGTAATGCCAAGTCAAGAATTCCAAACGAACTCAGAATTCAGAATTCAAACAAGCCGACAAACCGAACCCCGTTCTTTTCTGGGTCTGGTTGTTCTGTGTGCGGTGTGAAAACAGCGCTCTCTGCTGGTAGAAGAATGCATTGCAACAGTTACATTATATTCATGTGACACCTGAGCAGAGAATGGCTTTCTGACCTTATATATATGTTCATCTAATACCGCACAAGACTATTCAATATCATGCTCTCTGGATATACAGCGCTGCATCAGTTACGTGTTCAGTATTAAAGGTACAACAGCAGGGAAATCAACACTGGTGGTTCATGAATCGAGTGAATTTCACAAAAAAGAAGGTCAAGGACACGTCCAGCCTTTGTCCCTTAAAGTATTGTAATTTAAATAATTTAATAATAATTCTTGAATAATAAGTAGTACATTTCACAAAACAGATCAAATAGATGTTCAGCTCATGATTTCACCCCTTTTAAAGTATTGTCATTTAATTAACTTAATAATTATCAATAAATAATAATTTGGAAACATAACACAGAACAGATCAAGGTCATGTTCAGCATATTATTTCACCCTTCATAAAGTATTGTCATTTAACTAATAATAACTATTAAATTAAATACTTTGTGTATTATGTTGGATATATTTCACAAAACAGACCAAGAACATGCTCAGCTCATGATTTCATGCCTTAAAGTACTGTAATTGAAATAATTTAATAATTATTATTTAATAATGACTAATATTTTGGATAAATATCACAAAACAGGTCAAGGACACGTCTAGCTCATGATTTCATCCCTTAAAAGTATTGCAATTTGAATAATAATTATTAAATAATAATTAATAATTTAGATAAATAACACAAAACATTTAAAGGACCTGTTCAGCTCATGACTTGTCATTTAAATAATGCAATAATTTGGATACGTTTCACAAAACAAATCAAGAGCATGTTCAACTCATGATTTCACCCCTTTAAAAAATATTGTCGTTTAATTAAGTTAATAATTATTATTAAATAATATCTAATATTTTTGGATAAATATCACAAAATATTTAAAGGACACGTCCAGCTCAACTTCATTTATTTTTTTTTTAAATAAAGTATTGTTATTTCAATAATTAAACAATATTTATTAAATAATGACTAATAATTTGGATACATTTCACAAAACAGATCAAGGGCATGTTGAGCTCATGATTTCATCCTTTATAAAGTATTGTCATTTAAATAATTGAATAATAATTATTAAATTATATCTAATAATTTGGATAAAGATCACAAAAGATTTAAAGGACATGTCCAACTGGACTTCATCCCTTAAATACAGTATCATAATTTAAACAATTTAATAATTACTATTAAATAATAACTATAATAAATTTGGATGCATTTCACAAAACAGATCAAGGACATGTTCAGCTCATGATTGCACCCCTTAAAAAAAAAGATCTGACCAGAACTGTGAAATATACATCTGGTTTCTCATCATTGAATAATTAACTACTAATTATTAAATAATAAAAATAACATAAACATTTAGGATAAAGAAGCATATTTTTTGGGGGACCATTAAGATTTTATTATTTGTCTGGCAATTAATGTGTTTTTGTGTCACATTACTATGAAAATTGTCTCCAAAAAAGTATTTTTATATGTAAATTTGACATATTTAAATGATAAAAAGTACCATGATATATACATATTTCACAATGTATATATAAATATACATAACTAAGTGCAAAATATACAACCTGTTCTTGTATTAAATATTAAAATAATGCATAAATATATGTAATATACTGTATGTGATGTTATTATGACAATTAATCATTCTTATTATAAAGTAAAAAAGCCATGTAGCACATAAATACAGGATAAATAAATGCCACCATGAGAACAACAATAAACAAACCCTTAATGGTCCAAAAAATAATAATAATTAAAATTTGGGGTGAAATTTAGAGATGTTTTTAATTTTCCATGCTTTTATGACATACTTTCAGACCTTATTTAGACTTGATTTAAGACAGCTTCAACGCCATATTTACTCATCGAAACACCACAGTTATCTGTAAAAGTGAAAAACAATGCTTGAGATTGAAATTGGATGCCAGAATCTCGCCACCATGATGAAGAAAACATGGCACATTCAGCCGTTTTCAATGCATGAAGCCGCGTGCCGTCTATTAAACATCCACATATGCATTGTTGATCACACAAACAGGCTGAATATTGCATGTGGCAGTTTTTGAGTTGACACACCACATTCATAACAAGTTAAAACATTCCTTATATAGGTGATATATTTTTGTGCATATACACACACACACTCTCTCTCTCTCATCGGTTACATAAGAAAGCAGTAAGGGGAAGTGCGTCTTAAACACTGACTAACTGCATTTAACAGGAGAAGATGACATTCAGTGCGCTGCGTGGGTAACAGGTCTGTTTGACTCATGAACTACACACTGCAAAATCCTCCTACCAGCCCAACCAAACACGCGCACACACACACATCAGAGATTGTCACTATAGTCAGCCATGCTGTACACAGCAGACAACATTCAGCCAAGAGAATAATGCAGAAAAGACAAGGACGAGAAGCTAAAAGAGAGCATATTCAACAAATCAACTGTATAGGCTATAAGATTACGCTCCTCCGTTCGCCCCACTGCACAAATCAGCTCCTAAAAACGCTTTGCTTTGTCTCTCCTTGGGTTTTTTTTTTTCAATAGAAATATCTAAACATCCTTAACATTAACTGAGAATGCATTGAGAGCTATTGGCACATAGTGTGTTTACCTTTTTAATGCATAAACGGTTGATAACTAGTGGGAAAAATGAGTTGTTATGTAATAAAGAGAGAAAACAAATGTCAATAATGTACAGAAATGCTTTCTGAATTAAAATGTAATCTTGCATATTAGAGTTTGTCGGTAAATTATATTAGAATTTGTCAGAAATTACATATATATTGAATATATAAAATGAATTTCTAATCCAAATAGTGTTAATCAAACAAAACGATGAGATTTGTGCTTAAACTTCAGAAATAAATTGTGAATCAGATGATCAAACTGTAATTCAAGACATCATACTCTCAGAAAGAAAGGTACAGGAGCTGTCACTGGGGTAGTATGTTCTCAAAAGGTAC